CCAGCAGGTTGGATCCACGGTTTCCATTTGCCCATGGTACCCAAAAGCCATGTTCCAGTTTCCCCCTTTACCAGCTATGCCCATGGTATCCAGCTAGGGCCCAGGGTATCCAGTTTATCCCCCATGTTATCCAGTATGCCAGTATCCAGTATGCCATGTGTATCCAAGCTATGCCCATGGTAATCCAGCTATGCCCAGGGTATCCAGCTATGCCATGGTATCCAGCTATGCCATGGTACCCCAGCATGCCCTTTGGTATCCAGCATGCCCTGGTATCCAGCTATGCCCATTTATCCGCTATGCCCATTTTATCCAGCTATGGCCCCAGGGTCAGTATGTGACCAGCTTTCCCATGTACTTCCCCAGTTTCCATTGCCATGGTATCCAGCTATGCCCATGGTACCAGCTATGCCTACCCTACCAATGGAAATCCAGCAAATGCCCATGGTATCCAGCTTGCCCATGGTATCCGACTATGCCCATGGTATCCATATGCCCATGGTATCCAGCTATGCCATGGTATCAGCTATCCCTTTGGTATCCATATGCCCATGGTATCAGCATGCCCAATGGTATCCAGCTATGGGATGCTCCATTGGTATCCACACCCAGGCCACTATGCCAGGTTATCCACTATGTGGCCCTTGAAAGTGGCCTGCCACACTTTTGTTACTTATTCTATAAAATATAAAGGAGACGCTGTAAGATGTTGACCTTTTAGGCTTGTATCTTTTGCATATTCAGACAGGGGTGTTTTAGAGTATGAATTTCTCCCACTACAGTGGGATAAAAGCTCAGCTGTAATGAAATACCTCATACAGGGGGACTGAGCTCAGCTGTAATTGAACATACCTCACTACAGTGGGATAGAGCTCAGCTGTAATGAATATACCTCATACAGTGGGATAGAGCTCAGCTGTAATGAATATACCTCACTACAGTGGGATAGAGCTCAGCTGTAAGAACATACCTCACTACAGTGGATAGAGCTCAGTGTAATGAACATCCTCACTACAGTGGGACTGAGCTAGCTTTTTTGTAATTAACATACCTCACTACAGTGGGATAGAGTCAGCTGTAATGAACAACCTCACTACAGTGGGACTGAGCTCAGCTGTAATAAACATCCTCATTTACAGGGGGACTGAGTCAGCTGTAAGAACATACCTCACTACAGTGGGACTGAGCTCAGCTGTAATGAAAACATACCTCACTACAGTGGGACTGAGCCAGCTGTAATGGAACATACCTCACTACAGTGGGATAGAGCTCAGCTGTAATGAACATACCTCACTACAGTGGGACTGAGCTCAGCTGAATGAACATACCTCACTACAGTGGGATAGAGCTCAGCTGTATGAACCATACCTCACTACAGTGGGATAGAGCTCAGCTGTGTAAAATAGACGATGGTAAAGGGAGGCAGCCAGGGAAACTTCCCAACACGGCTATGACTGTCGTCACTCCCGGGCCCAGGTCTGAGGGAGGAGAAACAATCAGACGGGAGAATCTGTTAACGTGTTGAATGACACAAAGTGTTAAAGGTGCTTAAAGAATTAAACTAGTGTCACAAGTGTTTAAAAATAACACTTAAAGCTAGACTCCATAATTGGTGAAACAGTGTTTGGGATTTTTCAACAAAAAAGTAAACAACAGTGTTTTTTATTTCCTCAGACTACGTAAAACAGCAGAATTGTACTGCAGTATTTTTACCGCGCGTCGGACGCTCCTCCACTCCGTTTATCAAAAAGGGGGAGGAGTGTTTTTAACAAAGCATTGGTTTTGTTCAAGGGAAAAAACAAAATGTAAAAGTAAAAAAGCACAAAGGCCCTTGCATAAAAAATTTTTTAATAAATAGCAGAAAAAGACCCCTTAATAAAAAAAACCATGGTCAGAAACGCCCCAAAATGTCAAAGCAGGGAGGGCCGACGGGCCCGTCCAAATTTTTTTGGGGAGGGAAAGCCGCCATTAACCCAGTTAACTTGGTATATCAAATGGGGACCAAGACCACTTAGGGCAACCCGAGACACCAGAGAAAAACCTTAGGAGGGGAGGGGAGAGAGGGGGAAGAGAGAGAGAGATAGGGGAGAATAGAAAAGAGGAGAACTAAGAGAGGGAGAGAGAGAGAGGGAGCCGAAGAGGAGGGGGAGAAAAATGAGAAAGGGGAGAGAGGAGACAGTAAGGAACAAACTTTAAAAACACACTAGCGGGATCCTTATTGGAACAAGGATGACCCAAACAAATGGAGAGATGAAAACACTGGGGAAGCACAAACCCGGGAAAATCCGAAAAAAGAATGGTAATTTTAGGAAAAAAGAGAGAAAGTCAAAGGTTTTCAAATTACCCAGAAGAGGGGAAACCGAAACCCAAAAAAAACAAAAACAAGGTCTTCTATGTTTGTGATTACAAAACTTTGATCATATCTCTTTTTTGGGACCGGGAAAAATTTTTTACGAAATCCCGAAAGCCTAAAAGCAGTTTAAGAAAAGAAACTAAAAAATTTTAAAAAAAAAAAAAGCGCTAATAAGGGGGGAAACGGGGTACCGCCAGGGTTATTTGGGGAACCGCTAGTGGGTTAAATATGTACAGTGGTAGATTTAATACATGCATAGTTAAAAAAAAGAGAAGGGGTAAAATATGGGGTGGGGGTGCAAATAGTCCGGGTAGCCATGATTAGCTGTTCAGGAGTCTTATGGCTTGGGGGTAGAATCTGTGAAGAAGCCTTTTTGACCTAGACTTGCGCTGTGGTACCGCTTGATTTGTGGTAGCAAGAGAGAACAGTCTATGACTAGGGTGTCTGGAGTCTTTGACCATATTTAGGGCCTTCCTCTGACACCGCCTTGGTACAGGAGGTCCTGGATGGCAGGAAGCTTGGTCCCACTGATGTACTGGGCCGTACACACTAACCTCTGTAGCGCCTTGCGGTCGGAGGCCGAGCAGTTGCCATACCAGGCAGTGATGCAACCAGTCAGGATGCTCTCGATGGTGCAGCTGTAGAAACTTTTGAGGATCTGAGGACCCATGCCAAATCTTTTCAGTCTCCTGAGGGGGAATAGGCTTTGTCGTGCCCTACTTCACGACTGTCTTGGTGTGTTTGGGACCATGATAGTTTGTTGGTGATGTGGACACCAAGGAACTTGAAGCTCTCAACCTGCTCCACTACAGCCCCCGTCGATGAAAATAGGGGCGTGCTAGGCCCTCTTTTTCCTGTAGTCCACAATCATCTCAATTGTCTTGAATTTGGCATGAGGGTCTGTTATACAAATTGATGGAAAGTGATGTTGGGGGGGAAAAACATACAACATTCTAAAATCAATGTACACAAAACAACAGTGTGAAGTTAAAATTGGCAAAAAAACACATTTCTTCCACAAGCCGTTGGGTGGACAGGGATGCACTTTGAGCCCCACCCTCTTCAACAAACATTTCATTTGGAAAGTATTCAGACCCCTTGTCTTTTACAGCCTTATTCTAAAATGGATTAAATTGGTTTTTTCCACCTCACCAATAATGACAAAGCAAAAAACAATTTTTTTGAAATTTTAGCAAATGTATTACAAATAAAAAAGTGTAATGTCACATTTACATAAGCATTCAGACCCTTTACTCCGTACTTTGTTGAAGCACCTTTGGCAGTAATTACAGCCTCAAGTCTTCTTGGGTATGATGCTACAAGCTTGGCACACCTGTATTTGGGGAGTTTCTCCCATTCTTCTCTGCAGATCCTCTCAGCTCTGTCAGGTTGGATGGGGAGAGTCGCAGCACAGCTATTTTCAGGTCTCTCCAGAGATGTTCGATCGGGTTAAAGTCTGGGTTCTGGATTGTCCACTCAAGGTTATTCCGAGACTTGTCCCGAAGCCACCCCTGCGTTATATTGGCTGTGTGCTTAAGGTCGTTGTCCTGTTGGAAGGTGAACCTTCACCCCAGGTCTGAAGTCCTGAGCAGGTTTTCATCAGGATCTCGCTGTACTTTGATCCGTTCATCTTTACCCTCGATCCTGACTAGTCTCCCAGTCCCTGCAGCTGAAAAACATCCCCACAGCATGATTGCTGCCACCACCATGCCTTCCACGTAGGATGGTGCCAGGTTTCCTCCAGACGTGGACTCTTGGCATTCAGGCCAAAGAGTTCAATCTTGGTTTCAGTCTTTAGGTGCCTTTTGGCAACTCCAAGCGGGCTGTTCATCTGCCTTTTACTGAGGAGTGGCTTCCGTCTGGCCACTCTACCATAAAGGCCTGATTGGTGGAGTGCTGCAGAGATGGTTGTCCTTCTGGAAGGTTCTCCCATCTCCACAGAGGAACTCTAGAGCTCTGTCAGAGTGACCATCAGGTTCTTGATCACCTCCCTGACCAAAGCCCTTCTCCTCCAATTGCTCAGTGTTTGGCCGGGCAGCCAGTTTCTAGGAAGAGTCTTGGTGGTTCCAAACTTCTTGAATTTAAGAATGATGGAGACCACTGGTGTTCTTGGAGGCCTTCAATGCTCAGACATTTTTTGGTACCCTTCCACAGATCTGTGCCTCAACACAATCCTGTCTCGGAGCTCTACGACGGACAATTCCTTCGACCTCAATGGCTTGGTTTTTTGCTCTGATATGCACTGTCAACTGTGGGATCTTATATAGACAGGTGTGTGCCTTTCCAAATCATGTCCAATCAATTGAATTTACCACAGGTGAACTCCAATCAAGTGGTAGAAACATCTCTACTCTCTCCTCTTCCATCCTATCATCTCTTCCCTCTGCTCAACCCATCTCCCTCCAATCTCCTGATTCTGCCTCCTCAACCCTCCTCTCCTCCCTTTCTGCATCCTTTGACTCTCTATGTCCCCTATCCTCCCGGCCGGCTCGGTCCTCCCCTCCAGCTCCGTGGCTTGATGACTCATTGCGAGCTCACAGAACAGAGCTCCGGGCAGCTGAGCGGAAATGGAAGAAAACTAGACTCCCTGCAGACCTGGCATCTTTTCACTCCCTCCTCTCTACATTTTCTTCATCTGTTTCTGCTGCTAAGGCCACTTTCTACCACTCTAAATCCAAGCATCCGCCTCTAACCCTAGGAAGCTCTTTGCCACATTCTCCTCCCTGCTGAATCCCCCCCCCCCCCCCCCCCCTCTGTGGATGACTTCGTAAAACCATTTTGAAAAGAAGGTTGACGACATCCGATCCTCGTTTGGTTAAGTCAAATGACACTGCTGGTTCCTGCTCACACCTGCCCTACCCTATGCTTTGACTTCTTTCTCCCCCTCTCCCTCTCCAGATAAATCTTGCGACTTGTGATGGCAGGCCGCCCAACAACCTGCCCGCTTGACCCTATCCCCTCCTCTCTTCTCCAGACCATCTCCAGTGACCTTCTCCCTTACCTCACCTCGCTGATCAACTCATCCTTGACCGCTGGCTATGTCCCTTCCGTCTTCAAGAGAGTGAGAGTTGCAACCCCTTCTCAAAAAAACCAAACACTCGATCCCTCCGATGTCAACAACTACAGACCAGTATCCCTTCTTTCTTTTCTCTCCAAAACTATTGAGCGTGCCGTCTTTAGCCAACTCTCTTGCTATCTCTCTCAGAATGACCTTCTTGATCCAAACCAGTCAGGTTTCAAGACTGGTCATTCAACTGAGACTGCTCTTCTCTGTGTCACAGAGGCTCTCCGCACTGCTAAAGCTAACTCTCTCTCCTCTGCTCTTGTCCTTCTAGACCTGTCTGCTGCCTTTGATACTGTGAACCATCAGATCCTCCTCTCCACCCTCTCCGAGCTGGGCATCTCCGGCGCGGCTCACTCTTGGATTGCGTCCTACCTGACCGGTCGCTCCTACCAAGTGGCGTGGTGAGAAGCTGTCTCCGCACCATGTGCTCTCACCACTGGTGTCCCCCAGGGCTCAGTTCTAGGCCCTCTCCTATTCTCGCTATACACCAAGTCACTTGTCATATCCTCACATGGCCTCTCCTATCATTGCTACGCTGACGACACACAACTAATCTTCTCCTTTCCCCCTTCTGATAACCAGGTGGCGAATCTTATCTCTGCATGTCTGGCATACATATCAGTATGGATGACGGATCACCACCTCAAGCTGAACCTCGGCAAGACGGAGCTGCTCTTCCTTCCGGGGAAGGACTGCCCGTTCCATGATCTCGCCATCACGGTTGAAAACTCCGTTGTGTCCCTCCTCCCAGAGTGCGAAGAGCCTTGGCGTGACCCTGGACAACACCCTGTCGTTCTCCCGCTAACATCAAGGCGGTGACCCGATCCTGTAGTTCACTGCTCTACAACATTCGGAGAGTACGACCCTGCCTTACACAGGAAGCGGCACAGGTCCTAATCCAGGCACTTGTCATCTCCCGTCTGGATTACTGCAACTCGCTGTTGGCTGGGCTCCCTGCCTGTGCCATTAAACCCCTACAACTCATCCAGAATGCTGCAGCCCGTCTGGTGTTCAACCTTCCCAAGTTCTCTCACGTCACCCCCCCGCTCCTCCGCACACTCCACTGGCTTCCAGTTGAAGCTCGCATCTGCTACAAGACCATGGTGCTTGCCTACGGAGCTGTGAGGGGAACGGCACCTCTGTACCTTCAGGCTCTGATCAGTCCCTACACCCAAACGAGGGCACTGCGTTCATCCACCTCTGGCCTGCTGGCTCCCCTACCTCTGCGGAAGCATAGTTCCCCTCCCGCTCAGCCCAGTCAAAACTGTTCGCTGCTCTGGCACCCCAATGGTGGAACAAGCTCCCTCACGGACGCCAGGACAGCGGAGTCACTCACCACCTTCCGGAGACATTTGAAACTCCACCTCTTTAAGGAATACCCTGGGATAGGATAAAGTAATCCTTCTACCCCCCCCCCCTTTACTCCAACCCCCCCCCCCCCCCCCCCCCCCCCAAAAAAAAATGCTGCTAAATGACGTAAATGTAAATGAAACAGGATGCACCTGAGCTCAATTTTGAGTCTCATAGCAAAGGGTCTGAATACTATGTAAATAAGATATTTCTGTTGTTGTTTTTTTACACATTTGCTGAAATTTCTAAAAACCTGTTTTACAGGAGGGGTCGCAGATCACTAGGTGTCATCCTTCGACAACCACATCCTCACTCACAGTCTGGACTTATCATCATCCTATTGGTGTCACCTGTGTCTACCTGTTCACCTGTGTATTTATGCCCTCACTTCCCTGTGTTCCCTTGCTCAGTTTTCTCTGCTAGTTTCTCTATGTCCAGCAGTACTACTCAGTGTCTGATCGGAGACCTATGAACAGGTACTTGAGAAGTGTTCTCCCTGTTTCGTTATTTGTTTCAGTCTTAGGAAGTATTTCGTATTTTGGCTGTCAGCCGGTTTTTGGAGACTTATTTGCTCCGCCTTTCTTTTATCGTCATAAGTCCGTTATTTTGTATTCTGGCTTCGGGAAAAGTAAAGATCCTTGTTTCACCATCTCTGCCTACTGTTGTGGGTTCGTTTCCCATGGGGGGCCAGTATGAAAAATAAAAAAATTATGTATGCACTCAGTAACTGTAAGTCGCTCTGGATAAGAGCGTCTGCTAAATGATGTAAAATGTAAAATGTACTGTATATCCTACACCACACCTGGGTCACACCTCACACCAACCCACACTGTATGCAGTATATCAACTAATTGGTGAGGGCACTAGAACGGTCTGCAGCACCCGGCCTCACCCTACTAGAATCTGAAGTCAAATGTCTACTGTTTGCTGATGATCTGGTGCTTCTGTCCCCAACCAAGGAGGGCCTACAGCAGCACCTAGATCTTCTACACAGATTCTGTCAGACCTGGGCCCTGACAGTAAATCTCAGTAAGACAAAAATAATAGTGTTCTAAAAAAGGTCCAGTTGCCAGGACCACAAATACAAATTCCATCTAGACACCGTTGCCCTAGAGCACACAAAAAACGATACATACCTCAGCCTAAACATCAGCGCCACAGGTAACTTCCACAAAGCTGTGAACGATCTGAGAGACAAGGCAAGAAGGGCCTTCTATGCCATCAACAGGAACATACAATTTGACATACCAATTAGGATCTGGCAAAAAATACTTGAAACAGTTATAGAACCCATTGCCCTTCGTGGTTGTGAGGTCTGGGGTCCGCTCACCAACCAAGAATTCACAAAATGGAACAAACACCAAATTGAGACTGCATGCAGAATTCTGCAGAAATATCCTTTGTGTACACCGTAAAACACCAAATAATGCATGCAGAGCAGAATTAGGCCGATACCCGCTAATTACCAAAATCCAGAAAACAGCCGTTAATTTTTACAACAACCTAAAAGGAAGCAATTCTCACATCTTCCATAACAAAGCCTTCACCTACAGAGAGATGAACCTGGAGAAGAGTCCCCTAAGCTAGCTGGTCCTGGGGCTTTGTTCACAAACAGACCCCACAGAGCCCCAGGACAGCAACACAATTAGACCCAACCAAATCATGAGAAAACTAAAAGATCACTACTTGACACATTGGAAAGAATTAACAAAAAAACAGAGCAAACTAGAATGCTATTTGGCCCTAAACAGAGAGTACAGCGGCAGAATACCTGACCACTGTGACTGACCCAAACTTAAGGAAAGCTTTGACTATGTACAGACTCAGTGACCATAGCCTTGCTATTGAGAGAGGCCGCCTTAGGCAGACCTGGCTCTCAAGAGAAGACAGACTATGTGCACACTGCCACAAAATGAAGTGGAAACTGAGCTGCACTTCCTCACCTCCTGCCAAATGTATGACCATATTAGAGACACATATTTCCCTCAGATTACAGAGACCCACAAAGAATTAGAAAACAAACCCAATTTTGATAAACTCCCATATCTATTGTGTGAAATACCACAGTGTGCAATCACAGCAGCAAGATGTGTGACCTGTTACCACAAGAAAAGGGCAACCAGTGAAGAACAAACACCATTGTAAATACAACCCATATTTATGTTTATTTATTTTCCCTTTGTACTTTAACTATTTGTACATTGTTACAACACTGTATATATACATAATATGACATTTGGAATGTCTCTATTCCTTTGGAACTTTTTTGAGTCTAATATTTATTGTTCATTTTATATTGTTTATTTCACTTTTGTTTATGATCTATTTCACTTGCTTTGGAAATGTAAACATATGTTTCCCATGCCAATAAAGCCCTTTGAATTGAATTGAATTGAAAGAGAGAGAGGGGTAGTGAGCAGATTTTTTTTAACAAAAAGATAGATTTAGAGTTAGATAAACTTCAATTTTTCCACAAGGACACATACAGGATACTACCCTCCACAACTTAACCTTCACTCCAAATCAAAAACTCCAAACCTACAAACTGATTTTGGACAAAATTACCTGCAAGGATTCCTACCACCAAAGATCCAATCTATACAGCAAATGGTTAGCGATGGGTGGAAACTCAGGATACTAGACAACGAGGACTCTGAGTCAGCCAATATAAATCTATACAAGTCTGGAACAGTATTGGTACAGGGCAACCCCAAACAGTTTCAGCTGGACTTTCATATAATCAAAGAGGGAGCAAAGCAGGAGATGCGCTCTCTTGAGAAAGATACCCCCACCCCAAGCGTGTCAGACCAGACCTCTTCATTTAACAACCCCACAGACGAGCAATCCCAAGCAGAAAGTCAACCTCCCAGCACAGAGTACTACTCCCTCACTGAAATGAAGGATACATTCAACCAGCTGGAGGTAAGGCAGGTGGAGCTGGAACAGCAGGTGAACACACTCCAGTCAGCACAGACTCAGACAACAGTCCAGCACAACAACACCCCCTTAACTAGACCTGGAGAGCTGGAGGTGGAGAGAGAACAGCCCACCTCAGATCCTGACCAAAGTCTCGACACCACAGCAGAACAGTCCACCCCAGACCCTGACCATAGCCCCGACATCACAGCAGGACAGACAAATGAAGAACACCAAGCCCAGGAGATCCCATCCCCTTTGAGCACCCCCCCCGTTCAGCCACCCTGATAGCCCTCCTGACAACCCCCCCCCCCCCCCCCCCCCCCCATGATATGGGAAATATATGCAAGAAAATACACTTTTTCCCAAAAACAGTGTCTAAACTCTGGTCTCCAAACACCCAGCGCACCCTAGACTTTCAATCAATCAATCAATTTTATTTTATATAGCCCTTCTTACATCAGCTAATATCTCGAAGTGCTGTACAGAAACCCAGCCTAAAACCCCCAAACAGCTAGTAATGCAGGTGTAGAAGCACGGTGGCTAGGAAAAACTCCCTAGAAAGGCGAAAACCTAGGAAGAAACCTAGAGAGGAACCAGGCTATGAGGGGTGGCCAGTCCTCTTCTGGCTGTGCCGGGTGGAGATTATAACAGAACCATGCCAAGATGTTCAAAAATGTTCATAAGTGACAAGCATGGTCAAATAGTAATCAGGAATAAATCTCAGTTGGCTTTTCATAGCCGATCATTAAGAGTTGAAAACAGCAGGTCTGGGACAGGTAGGGGTTCCATAACCGCAGGCAGAACAGTTGAAACTGGAATAGCAGCAAGGCCAGGCGGACTGGGGACAGCAAGGAGTCACCACGGCCGGTAGTCCCGACGTATGGTCCTAGGGCTCAGGTCTCTCAGTTGGCTTTTCATAGCCGATCATTAAAGAGTTGAAAACAGCAGGTCTGGGACAGGTAGGGGTTTCGTAGCCGCAGGCAGAACAGTTGAAACTGGAATAGCAGCAGGGCCAGGCGGACTGGGGACAGCAAGGTGTCATCATGCCCGGTAGTCCTGACGTATGGTCCTAGGGCTCAGGTTCTCAGAGAGAAAGAGAGAACGAGAGAATTAGAGAGAGCATACTTAAATTCACACAGGACACTGGATAAGACAGGAGAAGTACTCCAGGTATAACCAACTAACCCCAGCCCCCCGACACATAAACTACTGCAGCATAAATACTGGAGGCTGAGACAGGAGCGGTCCGGAGACACTGTGGCCCCATCCGAAGAAACCCCCGGACAGGGCCAAACAGGAAGGATATAACCCCACCCACTCCGCCAAAGCACAGCCCCCGCACCACTAGAGGGATATCCCCAACCACCAACTTACAATCCTGAGACAAGGCCGAGTATAGCCCACAGAGGTCTCCACCACAGCACAAACCAAGGGGGGGGGCGCCAACCCAGACTTTCTGTCTGAGGACCAACTAGGATCACCCAGCCACATCATAATACACACAGGCACAAACAACCTGAGAGCACAGCAGGGAAGGGTGGCAACAGCACTCAAGGGAGTGATTGAAAAAGCTTATTCTTCTTTCCCCAACGCACAAGTGGTTATCTCCAAACTGCTACCACGAAAAAAAGACTTCCACCCTGCTACCATACAGCGGGTAAACGCAAGTATTTCCCATGACTGTGCACCTGGCCCACCACTTCACCCTGGACTTGAACAGCCTTTATGACAAGCTCCACCTATAAAAGGCAGCAGTGCCCACCTTCGCCAGGACCCTAAAGTGCATCGCCCTCAACCGCAGCCCCAACACCTCACCAGATCAACAGACACCCTGCCCAGACCAGCAAGACACTCTCCCAGACCTGCGGGAGAGTGTCTTCCCCAATATTTGGAACCAAGACTGATCAACCCAATCCACAAAAGTGGAAACAAATTTGACCCCAATAACTACTGTGGTATATGCATCAACAGCAACCTTGGGAAAATCATTAACAGCACACTGGTACATTTCCTCAGTGAAAACAATGTACTGAGCAAATGTCAAATTGGCTTATTACCAAATTACCGTACAACAGACCACATATTCACCCTGCACACCCTAATTGACAAAGAAACAAACCAAAACAAAGGCAAAGTTTTCTCATGCTTTGTTGATTTCAAAAAAGGTTTTGACTCAATTTGGCATGAGGGTCTGCTATACAACTTTATGGAAAGTGGTGTTGGGGTAAAAACATATGACATTATAAAATCTATGTACACATACAACAAGTGTGCAGTTAAAATTGGCAACAAACACACACATTTCTTTCCACAGGGCCGTGGGGTGAGACAGGGACGCAGCTTAAGCCCCACTCTCTTCAACATATAAATCAACGAATTGGCGAGGGTACCGGAGAAGATGGCTGCCATTTTACAGCCCTCTAACCAATTGTACTATTATGTGTGTTTTTCCGCGTTATTTGTAATTTATTTTGTACATCATGTTTCTGCCATCGTCTCTTATAACCAAAAAGAGCTTCTGGATATCAGGACAGCGATTACTCACCTCGTATTGGACAAATATTTTTTCTTCAACAAGTCGGCCGCGAAGGACATCCTACAGACACCCGACAAGGCCCAAATCCCCGTCATTCGCATAAGAAAGAGACAGAGATATTGTGGACATAGGTCGGGGTGCTTGTAAGGATCCGACGGCGAGCGAGTAAACTGCCTCTTCCATCAATCCTATTAGCCAATCTTCAATCATTAGAAAATAAATTGGACGACCTAAGATTACGGTTATCCTACCAACGGGACATTAAAAACTGTAATATCTTATGTTTCACCGAGTTGTGGCTGAACGATGACATGGATAACATACAGCTGGCGGGATATACGCTACATCGACAGGATAGAACGGCTGACTCCGGTAAGACAAGGGGTGGCGGTCTGTGTATATTTGTAAACAACAGCTATTGCATAAAATTGAATACTAAGGAAGTCTCTAGGTTTTGCTCGCCTGAGGTAGAGTATCATGATAAGCTGTAGACCACACTATTTACCAAGAGTGTTTTCATCTATATTTTTCGTAGCTGTCTATTTACGACCACAAACCGACGCTGGCACTAACACCGCACTCAACGAGCTGTATAAAGCCATAAGCAAACAAGAAAACGCTCATCCAGAGGGCACGCTCCTAGTGGCCGTGGACTTTAATGCAGACAAACTTAAATCTGTTTTACCTCATTTCTACCAGCATGTCACAAGTGCAACCAGAAGGGAAAAAACTCTAGACCACCTTTAGTCCACACACAGAGACCCATACAAGGCTCTCCCTCACCCTCCATTTGGCAAATATGACCATAATTATATCCTCCTGATTCCTGCTTACAAGCAAAAACTAAAGTAGGAAGAACCAGTGACTCGCTCAATATGGAAGTGGTCAGGTGACGTGGATGTTACGCTACAGGACTGTTTTGCTAACTCAGACTGGAATATGGCATTGAGGAGTATACCACATCAGTCACCGGCTTCATCAATAAGTGCATCGATGACGTCGTCTCCACAGTGACCGTACGTACATACCCCAACCAGAAACCATAGATTACAGGCAACATCCGCACTGAGCTAAAGGGTAGAGCTGCTGCTTTCAAGGAGCGGGACTCTAACCCGGATGATAATAAGAAATCCCGCTATGCCCTCAGACGAACCATCAAACAGGCAAAGAGTCAATACAGGACTAAGATTGCATCCTACTACACCTGCTCTGTTGCTCTTCGGGTGTGACAGGGCTTGCAGACTATTACGGACTACAAAGGGAAGCCCAGCTGCAAGCTGCCCAGTGACACAATCCTACCAGATGAGCTAAATGGCTTATATGAGCGCTTCGAGGCAAGCAACACTGAAGCATGCATGAGATCACCAGCTGTTCTGGACAACTGTGCGATCATGCTCGCCGTAGCCGATGTGAGTAAGACCTTTAAACAGGTCAACATTCTCAAGGCCGCAGGGTCAGACGGATTACCAGGACGTGTACTCTGAGCATGCGCTGACCAACTGGCAAGTGTCTTCACTGACATTTTCAACCTGTCCCTGGCCGAGTCTGTAATACCAACATGTTTCAAGCAGACCACCATAGTCCCTGTGCCCAAGAACACCAAGGTAACCTGCCTAAATGACTACCGACCCGTAGCACTCACGTCTGTAGCCATGAAGTGCTTTGAAAGGCTGGTCATGGCTCACATCAACACCATTATCCCAGAAACCCTAGACCCACCCTAGACCCACTCCAATTTGCATACTGCCCCAACAGATCCACAGATGACGCAATCTCTATTGCACTCAACACTGCCCTTTCCAACCTGGACAAAAGAAACCCCTATGTGAGAATGCTGTTCATTGACTCCAGCTCAGTGTTCAACACCATAGTGCCCTCAAAGCTCATCACTAAGCTAAGGACCCTGGGACTAAACACCTCCCTCTACAACTGGATCCTGGACTTCCTGACGGGCTTCCCCCAGGTGGTAAGGGTAGGTAACAACACATCTGCCACGCTGATCCTCAACACGGGGGCCCCTCAGGGGTGTGTGCTTAGTCCCCTCCTGTACTCCCTGTTCACCCATGACTGCGTGGCCAAGCACGACTCCAACACCATCATTAAGTTTGCCGACAACACAATGGTGGTAGGCATGATCACCGACAACGATGGGACAGCCTATAGGGAGGAGGTCAGAGACCTGGCAGTGTGGTGCCAGAAAAACAATCTCTCCCTCAACATGATCAAAACAAAGGAGATGATCGTGGACTACAGGAAAAGGAGGGCCGAGCACGCCCCCATTCTCATTGACAGGGCTGTAGTGGAGCAGGTTGAGAGCATCAAGTTCCTTGGTGTCCACATCACCATCAAACTATCATGGTCCAAACAATATTTTTCTTAAAACTGCATTGTTGGTTAAAGGCTTCTAAGTAAGCATTTCATGGTAAGGTTGTATTCGGAGCATGTGACAAATACATTTGATTTGATTAATATGTTTTATGGAAAAAGGTTTGGAAAGGTGTCTTCATAATGACAATCTAAATAGCTACAACTGGTAAAAAGTTATTTAGTCGCTTGCGTCTTGGAAAACGCGAGCGCCAGATCATGGTATTCGGGGGGAATGCGCACTGTCTGGACTTTCCACCGTGGTCGCACCAACGGAAACACCTAGACACCTACCCGGACATTCACGCGACCACCCCATAAGAACCCTCTGCGGTCATGAGAAATTGGGGTTGTGAAGGGCTAACCACGGGATACCCAAGACTACAGGGTAAACAGGAGACTCAATAATCATAAAGGTGATCTGCTCAACATGCGTCTCCTGCGTAATCATGGTGACTGGTACCGTAACTTCCTTAACCAACCCGGACCCTAATGGTCGACTATCAAGTGCTCTGATGGGGAGTGGAATGGTTAGGGGAACCAATGAAACGCCTTGACGGCGTGCAAATGCCCTGTCCATAAAATTCCCAGCTGCGCCTGAATCGACTAGTGCCTTACAATGGGAACCTACCAAGTGATCGGGAAAGGAGATAGATAAAGTACAGTGCACCGCAAAGGGCTCTGAACACGTTTGGGTGTTCGTTACCCGGGGTGATGCGTGAGTACCCTGCCAACCGCTTCCAGACCCAAAAGTGTGTTGACTGCGACGTGATGTGGATTGTCCCTTCGTGCCACCAGAGTGGCACTGTCGCTGTCCTCCTGCGCTCTCTCGACCGGCGGCTCCTCCCAGCTCCATCTGCTCGGGGTCAGAGTCTTCCGGAGTGGAAACAGAAAGACCCCTACCAGGATGTCCTCTGGCTGCTAACAGATTGTCCAGTCGGATGGCCATGTCCACCAGTTGGGAGAAACGATAGCATGGCTTCCCGGCAGGCTAGCTCCCGTCGGACGTCCTCCCTTAGGTGGCACGGAAATGGTCGATCAGGGCCCGCTCGTACCACCCGGACCCCGCTGCCAGCGTCCGGAACTCCAGCGCGTAGTCCTGAGTGGTCCTCGTCCCCTGCCTCAGATTAAGCAGTTGTTCGCCCGCCTCTCGACCCTCAGGCAGGTGATCAAAAATGTCCCGAAAGAGGCGAGCAAACTCCCCGTAGTCCTCCCTCGTTCCACACCGCGTTGGCCCACTCCAGGGCTCTCCCACAAAGGCAGGAAACGAGGACGGATACCTTTTCCCGCTCCCGGGGCGCCGGCCTGATGCTGGAGAAATACAAGTAGGAATCCCTTACATCGCGCTGCCGTCCCGTCAAACGCCGGTGGTCGGGATATCTGGATCCCTCCAGGGGCTGGGGTGTAGGTGGCTGGATCCGGTTGACCAGCTGGTCTCGATAGATCAGATTCTCTCCTCTCCAGGCATTGTACCACCTGAACAACCCGATCCATCGCTTCCCCCAAGCTGGCCAACATCGAGGAATGCTCCTGGCCCTTGCCACAACTCTAGGCATGCGGTCTTCTCCTGCTGACTCCATATCAGATCGGGTGAGTGATTCTGTGACGAGGTGTGAAAGAAGGAGTCAGGCGCAGGAGGTAAAATACCGAAGTCCAGAGTTTAAGCCGTTTGCATAAATCAAACGCCCCAAGCGTCAAACGAAACTGTACAAGGGAAAACATCCACCTTGGCAATAACACAGTGAATAGTAGCTCAACCGAGCTACACGCTCTCACAACAAACAATCACTCACAAAGACAAGGGGAACAGAGGGAACACTTATACACATACTAATTAGGGGAATGAGCACCAGGTGTGTGTGATTGACAAGACATGACAAATGGAGTGATGAGAATGGGATCGGCAGTAGCTAGTACTCCGGTGACAACGAACGCCGAAGCCTGCCCGAACCAGGTGGGAGGGCAGCCTCGGCGGAAGTCGTGACAGGTGTAAAGTACTTAAGCCGTTTTTTGGGGTATCTGTACTTTTACTATTTATATTTTAGACTACTTTTACTCCACTCCTTTTTTTTCTCCCCTATTGGTAGTGAAAGTCTTGTCCCATTGCTGCAACTCCCCTACGAAACACGACCCTGCCAAGCCGCACTGCTTGACACACTGCTCGCTTAACCTGGAAGCCAGCCGCACCAGTGTGTCAAGCAAAACCGAAGTCTGGCGACCGAAGTCAGCTTGCAGGCGCCTGGCCCGCCACAAGGAGTCGCTAGAGCACGATGGGACAAGGAAATCCAAACTGGCCAAACCCTCCCATAATCCGTACAACGCTGGGTCAATTGTGCACCGCCTCATGGGTCTCCCGGTCACGGCCGGCTGTGACACAGCCTGGGATCGAACCCGGGTCTGTAGTGACGCCTCTAGCACTGAGATGCAGTGCCTTAGACCGCTGCTCCACTCAGGAGGCCCACTCCACTACATTCCTAAAAAAAATGTGTACCATTTACTCCCATACATTTTCTATGAAACCCAAAAGTACTCGTTACATTTCGAATGCTCAAGCAGGACAGCAATATGGTCCAATTCACGCACTTATCAATATAAAGCGTTGTCATCCCTACTGCCTGTGATCTGGCGGACCCACTTAATACAAATACTGTGTTTGTAAATGATGTCTGAGTGTTGGAGTGTGACCCTGTCTGTCCATAAATTTAAAAAACAAGAAAATCGTATTGTCTGGTTTGTTTAATATGAGGAATTTGATATATAGCATTTATTTTTCACTTATACTCAAGTGTGACAATTCAGTACTTTTGGACTGAGTGTCAGTCATGCCATTGTAATTTGAATATGGTCAATCATGGGTAGTTACTGTAAACATTGATCGAACAGGTGGAGAGGGTGCCAGATACAGTCTTACACTGACCAGATAGAGCAGAGAATGAGGTACTGACCAGATAGAGCAGAGAATGAGGTACTGACCAGATATAGGAGAGAATGAGGTACTGACCAGATATAGGAGAGAATGAGGTACTGACCAGATATAGGAGAGAATGAGGTACTGACCAGATATAGGAGAGAATGAGGTACTGACCAGATATAGGAGAGAATGAGGTACTGACCAGTTATAGGAGAGAATGAGGTACTGACCAGATATAGGAGAGAATGAGGTACTGACCAGATATAGGAGAGAATGAGGTACTGACCAGATATAGGAGAGAATGAGGTACTGACCAGATATAGGAGAGAATGAGGTACTGACCAGATATAGGAGAGAATGAGGTACTGACCAGATATAGGAGAGAATGAGGTACTGACCAGATATAGGAGAGAATGAGGTACTGACCAGATATAGGAGAGAATGAGGTACTGACCAGATATAGGAGAGAATGAGAGCCCGTTTTCTCAGGTAGGGGATCCTGAAGAGGTCCAACATGTTGCTTGTCTTGGTCGAGCTGCAGCCCTCCACCTGCAGCTGGGAGGAGGAGATACAGTAGAGTTAGAGTTAGGAGGAGATACAGCAGAGTTAGGAGGAGGAGATACAGTAGAGTTTGGAGGAGATACAGCAGAGTTAGGAGGAGGAGGAGATACAGCAGAGTTGGGAGGAGGAGATACAGCAGAGTTAGGAGGAGATACAGCAGAGTTAGGAGGAGGAGGAGATACAACAGAGTCAGGAGGAGGAGATACAGCAGAGTTAGGAGGAGATACAGCAGAGTTAGGAGGAGGAGGAGATACAGCAGAGTCAGGAGGATGAGATACAGCAGAGTTAGGAGGAGGAGGAGATACAGCAGAGTCAGGAGGAGAGGAGGATACAGCAGAGTTAGGAGGAGGAGGAGATACAGCAGAGTTAGGAGGAGGAGGAGATACAGCAGAGTCAGGAGGAGGAGGAGATACAGCAGAGTTAGGAGGAGGAGGAGATACAGCAGAGTCAGGAGGAGGAGGAGATACAGCAGAGTTAGGAGGAGGAGGAGATACAGCAGAGTTAGGAGGAGGAGGAGATACATGAGAGTTAGGAGGAGGAGGAGATACAGTAGAGTTAGAGTTAGGAGGAGATACAGCAGAGTTAGGAGGAGGAGGAGATACAACAGAGTCAGGAGGAGGAGGAGATACAGCAGAGTTAGGAGGAGGAGGAGATACAGCAGAGTTAGGAGGAGGAGGAGATACAGCAGAGTTAGGAGGAGGAGAGATACAGCAGAGTTAGGAGGAGGAGATACAGTAGAGTTAGGAGGAGGAGATACAGCAGAGTTAGGAGGAGGAGATACAGCAGAGTTAGGAGGAGGAGATACAGCAGAGTTAGGAGGAGGAGGAGATACAGCAGAGTTAGGAGGAGGAGGAGATACAGCAGATTTAGGAGGAGGAGATACAGCAGAGTTAGGAGGAGGAGGAGATACAGCAGAGTTAGGAGGAGGAGGAGATACAGCAGAGTTAGGAGGAGGAGGAGATACAGCAGAGTTAGGAGGAGGAGGAGATACAGCAGAGTTAGGAGGAGGAGGAGATACACGCAGATTAGGAGGAGGAGGGATACGCAGAGTTTGGGAGGAGAGATACAGCAGAGTTAGGAGGAGATACAGCAGAGTTAGGAGGAGGAGGAGATACAGCAGAGTTGGGAGGAGGAGATACAGCAGAGTTAGGAGGAGATACAGCAGAGTTAGGAGGAGGAGGAGATACAACAGAGTCAGGAGGAGGATACAGCAGAGTTAGGAGGAGGAGGAGATACAGCAGAGTTAGGAGGAGGAGGAGATACAGCAGAGTTAGGAGGAGGAGATTCAGTAGAGTTAGGAGGAGGAGGAGATACAGCAGAGTTAGGAGGAGGAGATTCAGCAGAGGTATGAGGAGGAGGAGGAGATACAGTAGAGTTAGGAGGAGGAGATTCAGTAGAGAAGGTTTGAATCCTAAGCAACCTGCCGACACATAGTTTGAAGTACAATACCAACATAGCTACTGTAGTAGGTCAAAGCTGTGTGCTCGAAAACCTTGGTAGAGCATGGGTGGAGTAGGCATTGTGGTGCTCATGTGAATTTCCCTTATTTTTCGGCTTCAGACCAATGCCTATTCTCACTTAAAACGTTTTGTTTTTAATGGTGTTCTAGACCCATCCAGACTGCCAACTATACACTGCCTCTACATTACGAACACCTGCTCTTTCCATGACATACTGTAGACTGACCAGGTGAATCCAGCTGAAAGCTATGATCCCTTATTGATGTCACTTGTTAAATCCACTTCAATCAGTGTAGATGAGGGGAGGAGACAGGTTAAAGAAGGATTTTTAAGCCTTGTGTCACGTCGTTGAAGAACGGGTCAGACCAAGGCGCAGCGTGAAATGCATACATGTTTATTAAACTGAATAAACATACAAAACAACAAACGGCAACGAAACGTGACGTCGGAAGGCTACACACTAACAACTCCATATTAGGAAGGTGTTCCTAATGTTTGGTGTACAGTGGGGAAAAAAGGATTTAGTCAGCCACCAATTGTGCAAGTTCTCCCACTTAAAAAGATGAGAGAGGCCTGTAATTTACATCATAGGTACACGTCAACTATGACAGATAAAATGAGGGAAAAAAATCCAGAAAATCACATTGTAGGATTTTTAATGAATTTATTTGCAAATTATGGTGGAAAATAAGTATTTGGTCAATAACAAAAGTTTCTCAATACTTTGTTATAAACCCTTTGTTGGCAATGACACAGGTCAAACGTTTTCTGTAAGTCTTCACAAGGTTTTCACACACTGTTGATGGTATTTTGGCCCATTCCTCCATGCAGATCTCCTCTAGAGCAGTGATGTTTTGGGGCTGTCGCTGGGCAACACGGACTTTCAACTCCCTCCAAAGATTTTCTATGGGGTTGAGATCTGGAGACTGGCTAGGCCACTCCAGGACCTTGAAATGCTTCTTACGAAGCCACTCCTTCGTTGCCCGGGCAGTGTGTTTGGGATCATTGTCATGCTGAAAGACCCAGCCATGTTTCATCTTCAATGCCCTTGCTGATGGAAGGAGGTTTTCACTCAAAATCTCAAGATACATGGCCCCATTCATTCTTTCCTTTACACGGATCAGTCGTCCTGGTCCCTTTGCTGAAAAACAGCCCCAAAGCATGATGTTTCCACCCCCATGCTTCGCAGTAGGTATTCTTTGGATGCAACTCAGCATTCTTTGTCCTCCAAACATGACGAGTTGAGTTTTTACCAAAAAGTTCTATTTTGGTTTCATCTGACCATATGACATTCTCCCAATCCTCTTCTGGATCATCCAAATGCACTCTAGCAAACTTCAGACGGGCCTGGACATGTACTGGCTTAAGCAGGAGGACACGTCTGGCACTGCAGGATTTGAGTCCCTGGCGGCGTAGTGTGTTACTGATGGTAGGCTTTGTTACTTTGGTCCCAGTTCTCTGCAGGTCATTCACTAGGTCCCCCCGTGTGGTTCTGGGATTTTTGCTCACCGTTCTTGTGATCATTTTGACCCCACGGGGTGAGATCTTGCGTGGAGCCCCAGATCGAGGGAGATTATCAGTGGTCTTGTATGTCTTCCATTTCCTAATAATTGCTCCCACAGTTGATTTCTTCAAACCAAGCTGCTTACCTATTGCAGATTCAGTCTTCCCAGCCTGGTCTACAATTTTGTTTCTGGTGTCCTTTGACAGCTCTTTGGTTCAAACAGGTGCCATTAATACAGGTAATTAGTGGAGGACAGAGGAGCCTCTTAAAGAAGAAGTTACAGGTCTGTGAGAGCCAGAAATCTTGCTTGTTTGTAGGTGACCAAATACTAATTTTCCACCATGATTTGCAAATAAATTCATAAGAAATCCTACAATGTGATTTTCTGGAATTTTTTTCCTCAATTTGTCTGTCATAGTTGACGTGTACCTATGATGAAAATATAGAAAAATACAGGCCTCTCTCATCTTTTTAAGTGGGAGAACTTGCACAAAAAGTGGCTGACTAAATACTTTTTTCCCCCACTGTACTTAATGTAGTCTTCTAGTAACCTGCTGGATGTTAGGATGATTATGATGATAACCTGCTGGATGTTAGGATGATAGTGATGATAACCTGCTGGATGTTAGGATGATAGTAACCGCGATATAACCGCGATTGATAATAGACAGTACTGTGCAGCCGTCTTCATCGACCTGGCCAAGGCTTTCGACTCTGTCAACCACCGCATTCTTATTGGCAGACTAAATAGCCTTGGTTTCTCAAATGACTGCCTCGCCTGGTTCACCAACTACTTCTCAGATAGAGTTCAGTGTGTCAAATCGGAGGGCCTGTTGTCTGGACCTATGGCAGTCTCTATGGGGGTGCCACAGGGTTCAATTCTTGGGCCGACACTTTTCTCCGTGTATATCAATGATGTCGCTCTTGCTGCTGGTGACTCTCAGATCCACCTCTACGCAGACGACACCATTTTGTATACATCTGGCCCTTCATTGGACACTGTGTTAACAAACCTCCAAACGAGCTTCAATGCCATACAACAATCCTTCAGTAGCCTCCAACTGCTCTTAAACACTAGTAAAACTAAATGCATGCTTTTCAATCGAACGCTGCTGGCACCCGCCCACCCGACTAGAATCACCACTCTCGACGGGTCTGACCTAGAGTATGTGGACAACTACAAATACCTAGGTGTCTGGTTAGACTGTAAACTCAACTTCCAGACTCACTTAAAGAATCTCCAATCCAAAGTTAAATCTAGAATCGGCTTCCTATTTCGCAACAAAGCCTCCTTCACTCATGCTGCCAAACATGCCCTCGTAAAACTGACTATCCTACCGATTCTTGACTTCGGCGATGTCATTTACAAAATAGCCTCCAACACTCTACTCAGCAAATTGGATGTAGTCTATCACAGTGCCATCCGTTTTGTCTCCAAAGCCCCATACACTACCCACCACTGTGACCTGTACGCTCTTGTTGGCTGGTCCTCACTACATGTTCGTCGTCAAACCCACTGGCTCCAGGCCATCTATAAATCACTGCTAGGCAAATCCCCGCCTTATCTTAGCTCATTGGTCACCATAGCAGCACCCACCCGTAGTCTGCGCTCCAGCAGGTATATCTCACTGGTCATTCCCAAAGCCAACACCTCCTTTGGCCGCCATTCCTTCCAGTTCTCTGCTGCCAATGACTGGAACGAATTTCAAAAATCTCTGAAGCTGGAGACTCTTATCTCCCTCAATAACTTTAAGCATCAGTTGTCAGAGCACCTTACCGATCACTGCACCTGTACACAGCCCATCTGAAATTAGCCCACCCAACTACCTCATCCCTATATTGTTATTTATTTTGCTCTTTTGCACCCCAGTATCTCTATTTGCACATAATCTCTTGCACATCTAGCATTCCAGTGTTAATACTATTGTAATTATTCTGCACTATAGCCTATTTATGCCTTACTCCATAACTTGCTACATTTGCACACACTGTATATATATTTCTGTTGTATTTTTGACTTTATGTTTTTTTTACCCCATATGTAACTCTGTGTTGTTTTTATGCACTGCTTTGCTTTATCTTGGCCAGGTCGCAGTTGTAAATGAGAACCTGTTCTCAACTGGCTTACCTGGTTAAATAAAGGTGAAATCAAAAAATAAAAAATAAACTAACCTGGTCCAGCAGGGCTTCAGGGACCTCCCTCCCGTTGATTCTGGCTGCTCTGCGGATCTCCTGACGAGCCTCCTCCTGTCGGCCCTGGGTCATCAGCCACCGTGCTGACTCTGGGAGGATCCTACCAGACGATCAGGGATGGGGAGTCAAGGATGGGTCCAGGAAGTACAGGGATGGGGAGTCAAGGATGGGTCCAGCAAGTACAGGGATGGGGAGTCAAGGATGGGTCCAGCAAGTATAGGGATGGGAGTCAAGGAGGTCCAGCAAGTACAGGATGGGAGTCAAGGATGGTCCAGCAAGTACAGGGATGGGGAGTCAAGGATGGGTCCAGCAAGTACAGGGATGGGGAGTCAAGGATGGGTCCAGCAAGTACAGGGATGGGGAGTCAAGGATGGGTCCAGCAAGTACAGGGATGGGGAGTCAAGGATGGGTCCAGCAAGTACAGGGATGGGGAGTCAAGGATGGGTCCGGCGTCAAGGATGGGTCCAGCAAGTACAGGGATGGGGAGTCAAGGATGGGTCCAGGAAGTACAGGGATGGGGAGTCAAGGATGGGTCCAGGAAGTACAGGGATGGGGAGTCAAGGATGGGTCCAGCAAGTACAGGGATGGGGAGTCAAGGATGGGTCCAGCAAGTACAGGGATGGGGAGTCAAGGATGGGTCCAGGAAGTACAGGGATGGGGAGTCAAGGATGGGTCCAGGAAGTACAGGGATGGGGAGTCAAGGATGGGTCCAGCAAGTACAGGGATGGGGAGTCAAGGATGGGTCCAGGAAGTACAGGGATGGGGAGTCAAGGATGGGTCCAGCAAGTACAGGGATGGGGAGTCAAGGATGGGTCCAGCAAGTACATGGATGGGGAGTCAACGATGGGTCCAGGAAGTACAGGGATGGGGAGTCAAGGATGGGTCTAAAAAAGAGATGGGTGGAGTAGGCTGCTCTAAAACCACACCTCTGCACCAGCTGACAGACTGACGGGGTTAGAGGTTAGAGACGTACCAGTAGAATACCCCCAGCAGCAGGACAGGGCTGCGGAGGACCAGCTGACAGACTGACAGGTCAGGGTTCAGAACGTACCAGTAGAATAACCCGAGGAACAGGACAGGGCTGGAGAGGACCAGCTGACAGACTGACAGGTCAGGGTTCAGAACGTACCAGTAGAATACCCCGAGGAACAGGACAGGGCTGGAGAGGACCAGCTGTAGGATCCTCCAGTCTCTGACCCCGTAGGCGATCCCAGACATCAGCATCAGACCGATGGCATAGAAACAGTGGGAGAAGATGGTGAACAGAGCCCTCCTGTTATTACCGGTCCACTCAGCACCTGGTTAGATCAAGGGGTTAGAGGTCAGAGGTGAACAGAGCCCTCCTGTTGTTACCTGTCCACTCAGCACCTGGTTAGAGGTCAGAGGTGAACAGAGCCCTCCTGTTATTACCGGTCCACTCAGCACCTGGTTAGATCAAGGGGTTAGAGGTCAGAGGTGAACAGAGCCTTCCTGTTATTACCTGTCCACTCAGCACCTGGTTAGATCAAGGGGTTAGAGGTCAGAGGTGAACAGAGCCTTCCTGTTATTACCTGTCCACTCAGCACCTGGTTAGAGGTCAGAGGTGAACAGAGCCCTCCTGTTATTACCTGTCCACTCAGCACCTGGTTAGAGGTCAGAGGTGAACAGAGCCTTCCTGTTATTACCTGTCCACTCAGCACCTGGTTAGATCAAGGGGTTAGAGGTCAGAGGTGAACAGAGCCTTCCTGTTATTACCTGTCCACTCAGCACCTGGTTAGATCAAGGGGTTAGAGGTCAGAGGTGAACAGAGCCCTCCTGTTATTACCTGTCCACTCAGCACCTGGTTAGAGGTCAGAGGTGAACAGAGCCCTCCTGTTTATTACCTGTCCACTCAGCACCTGGTTAGAGGTCAGAGGTGAACAGAGCCTTCCTGTTATTACCTGTCCACTCAGCACCTGGTTAGATCAAGGGGTTAGAGGTCAGAGGTTGTTACCTGGAGGATGGAAACACATACAGTACATGACAGAGGAGTCTGACGGCCATGTCAAATATCTAGTATGGTATTGGCCAACTTGGGTCCCAGAGGGCTGCTGGTTGCAGGATTTTGTTCCAGCCCAGCTCTAACACAGCTTATTTCTGGGAAGTAAACAACTGTACCTTGCATTTGATACAAGAAAGGTGAGAGTTTCAGTTTTCACTAAGTGAAAAGGAAGTTATATGGTATAACATCGCAGTGTACCCACCTAAAACATAGGTGTTTATAGCGATGCCTGAGATGGTGGTGCCGACCATGAATCTGAAGGCTATGTAAACATAGATGTTGGGAGAGAAGGCTGCTCCCACGCCGAACAACAGCTGGATGAGTAGAGAGAGGAGGACCACAAAACGCCTACCATACCTGAGGAGCAGAGAGGAAAAAGAAGAGGTGAGGAGGGGAGGGGAGAGGGAGGGAGGAGAAGGAGAGGTGAGGAGGGGAGGGGAGAGGAAAGGGAGGGAGGGGGAGGAGGAGAGGCGAGGGAGGGAGGAGGGGATTGCGGCGAAGACGAGAGGTGATGGGATGGGGGAGGGGAAGAGGAGAGGGAGGGGCAGGGACGGAGAGGTTGAGGACGGAGAGGGGACGGGGATCTCGTAGGGGGGCAGGGAGGACGGGTGAGGGCGAAGGAGGCGGGAGGGGAGGGGGCGACGAGGAGAGGGAGGGGAGGGGAGGGAGGAGGAGAGGGGAGGGAGGAGAAAGGCAGGAGCAGCGGGGAGGGGAGGGGAGGGGAGGGGAGGGGAGGGGAGGGGAGGGGAGGGGAGGGGAGGGGAGGGGAGGGAGGGAGAGGGAGGCAGGGAGGGAGGAGGGGAGAGGAGAGGGTGAGAGGAGGGGGAGGGGAGGGGAGGAGGGGAGGGGAGGGGAGGGGAGGGAGGGGAGGGGAGGGGAGGGGAGGGAGAGGAGAGGGGAGGAGGAGAGGGAGGGGAGGGAGGAGGAGGAGGGAGGGAGGAGAAAGGAGAGGTGAGGAGGGAGAGGGGAGAGGAGAGGGAGGGGAGGGAGGAGGAGAGGGAGGGAGGAGAAAGGAGAGGTGAGGAGGGGAGGGGAGAGGGAGGGAGGAGAAGGAGAGGTGAGGAGGGAGGGGGAGAGGAAAGGGAGGGGAGGGAGGAGGAGACCCTTCTACCCTTGCCACCACTGCTGAAAAGAAACCTAGGGGAAACACTGGATGAGTCCATACCTGTCTGCCATTGGCCCAAACACCAGAGCACCAATCAGGAGCCCTGCCATGTAGATGGACTGGGACGCCTCATTCAGACCACTGTTGGCACACACCAGGTTGAACTGAAGAGGATGGGAGGAGGAGGGGAGGAGGAGGGGAGGAGGAAGGGAGGAGAGGAGGAGGGGAGGAGGAAGGGGGGAGAGGAGGAGGGGAGGAGGAAGGGAGGAGAGGAGGAGGGGAGAACCATAATAAAGATAGCATAATAAGGACGTGCTGCAAACAGAGAAAATAGGTTGAACGTGGCAACAATACATTGGAGACATATCTGTTATTTGATAAATATCTGTTCTGTTATTGCAGACATATTTGTTCTTTGATAAATATCTGTTCCATTTTTGGAGACATATCTGTTATTTGATATATATCTGTTCTGTTTGTCACGCCCTGGCTCTGGGGACACTGTTATGTTGAGCCAGGGTGTGTAATTCTATGTTTGTATTTCTATGTTGGCCTGAGTGACTCCCAATCAGAGGCAACGAGTGTCAGCTGGTTGTCTCTGATTGGGAGCCATATTTAACTGTCTGTCTTTCACTTTGTGTTTGTGGTTTCTTGTTCTTATTTGGTTTGTGTTAAACCGTAGACATCACGTTATCGTCTGTTGTTTTTGATCGTGTGATCAGTATAATAAATATTATGTTCACCTTCAACGCTGCGCCTTGGTCTCTCCCTGACGATCGTGACAGAAGAAACCACCAAGATGTGACCAAGCAGCGTGTCCAGGAGCCATCGCCAGGGAGATCTCTAACAGATCTCCTTCGCCTCCTCGACTGGGTCAAGCCGGATGAGGAGGAGAGGGGCTTGACATTGTGGCAGAAGGGCGAACGGCTGGCGAGGGACATGGAGACCTTGGCCACGGGTAGGAGTGAAGGCCAGAAATTTTTTAGGGGGGGGCTAACGCCGTGGACGACGGGCCAGCAGGAGACCGCGGCAGAGCGGCCCAGCGGATTGGCAGAGGAGGCCGCCAGGTTACGGGGGCCACTGGTCGAAGAGGGGGTGGAAGATGTAGAGGCACGGCGAGAGGTACTGGCGTGTGTTGCCAGTCCGGTCCGGCCTGTTCCTGATCCCCAACGTAGGGCCAGTGGTGTGTGTTCCCAGTACGGTCCGGCCTGTTCCTGCCACTCGCACCAAGTCTACAGTGCGCATCGCCAGCTTGGCCCGGCCCATTCCTGCTCCCCGCACCAAGTCAGTGGTGCGTTTCGTCAGCCCTGTTCGGCCCGTTCCTGCTCCCCGCACCAAGTCTGTGGTGCGTTTCGTCAGCCCTGTCCGGCCCGTTCCTGCTCTCCGCACCAAGTCTGTGGTGCGCGTCGCCAGCCCAGTCCGGCCCGTTCCTGCTCTCCGCACCGAGTCTGTGGTGCGCGTCGCCAGCCCAGTCCGGCCCATTCCTGCTCGCCGCACCAAGTCTGTGGTGCGTATCGTCAGCCCTGTCCGGCCCGCTCCTGCTCCCCACACCAAGCCAGTGGTGTGCGTCGTCAGTCCAGCACGGCCCGTGCCTGTTCCCCCACACCAAGCCAGTGGTGTGCGTCGTCGGTCCGGCACGGCCCGTGCTTGTTCCACTGGTGCCTGGTCCGGCACCGGTCAGATGCGTTACGCCGGAGCTAGAGCAATCCGCTCCATCAGTGTGCAGTCCAGCTCCGGCCAGCGGGGCCAGACCAGACCAGGGGTACTTTGGGGGGTTGGAGAGGGAGTGGGGATCAGGCCCGGAGCCGGATCCGCCGCCAAGGCGGAGTGCCCACCCGGTCCCTCCCCTGTGGTATTTAGTTGGCGCGGTCGGAGTCCGCGCCTTTAGGGGGGGGGTACTGTCACGCCCTGGCTCTGGGGACACTGTTATGTTGAGCCAGGGTGTGTAATTCTATGTTTGTATTTCTATGTTGGCCTGAGTGACTCCCAATCAGAGGCAACGAGTGTCAGCTGGTTGTCTCTGATTGGGAGCCATATTTAACTGTCTGTCTTTCACTTTGTGTTTGTGGTTTCTTGTTCTTATTTGGTTTGTGTTAAACCGTAGACATCACGTTATCGTCTGTTATTTTTGATCGTGTGATCAGTATAATAAATAATATGTTCACCTTCAACGCTGCGCCTTGGTCTCTCCCTGACGATCGTGACACTGTTATTGCAGACATATCTGTTCTTTGATAAATATCTGTTTTGTTCTTTGAGACATATCTGTTCTTTGATAAATATCTGTTCTGTTCTTGCAGACATATCTGATCTTTGATAAATATCTGTTCCGTTCTTGGAGACATATCTGTTCTTTGATAAATATCTGTTCTGTTCTTGCAGACATCTGTTCTTTGATATATATCTGTTCTGTTCTTGGCGACATATCTGTTCTTTGATAAATATCTGTTCTGTTCTTGCATACATATCTGTTCTTTGATAAATATCTGTTCTGTTCTTGCAGACATATCTGTTCTTTGATAAATATATGTTCTGTTGTTGGAGACATATATGTTCTTTGATAATTATCTGTTCTGTTCTTGCAGACATATCTGTTATTTGATAAATATCTGTTCTGTTCTTGGAGACATCTGTTCTTTGATAAATATCTGTTCTGTTCTTGCAGACATCTGTTCTTTGATAAATATCTGTTCTAATCCTAGAGACATCTGTTCTTTGATAAATATCTGTTCTGTTCTTGCGGACATATCAGTTCTTTGATAAATATCTGTTCTGTTCTTGGAGAAATCTGTTCTTTGATAAATACCTGTTCTGTTCTTGCAGACATTTCTGTTATTTGATAAATATCTGTTCTGTTCTTGCAGACATATTCATTCTTTGATAAATATCTGTTCTGTTCTTGTGGACATATCTGTTCTTTGATAAATATCTGTTCTGTTCTTGTGGACATATCTGTTCTTTGATAAATATCTGTTCTGTTCTTGGAGAGTTCTGTTCTGTTTTTGGAGACATATATGTTCTTTGATAAAAATCTGTTCTGTTCTTGGAGACATACAGTACCAGTCAAAAGTTTGGACACACCTACTTACTCAGGGGTTTTTCTTTATTTTAAATATTTTCTACATTGTAGAATATTAGTGAAGACATCAAAACTATGAAATAACACATACGGAATCATGTAGTAACCAAAAAAGTGTTAAGCAAAGTAGCCACCCTTTGCCTTGATGACAGCTTTGCACACTCTTGGCATTCTCTCAACCAGCTTCACCTGGAATGCTTTTCCAACAGTCTTGAAGAAGTTCCCACATATGCTGAGCACTTATTGGCTGCTTTTCCTTCACTCTGCGGTCCAACTCATCCCAAACCATCTCAATTGGGTTGAGGTCGGGTGATTGTGGAGGCCAGGTCATCTGATGCAGTACTCCATCACCCTTCTTGGTCAAATAGCTCTTACCCAGCCTGGAGGTGTGTTTTGGGTCATTGTCCTGTTGAAAAACAAATGATAGCCCCACTAAGCGCAAACCAGATGGGATGGTGTATCGCTGCAGAATGCTGTGGTAGTTATGCTGGTTGAGTGTGCCTTGAATTCTAAATAAATCACATACAGTGTAACCAGCATAGCACCACCACACCATCACACCTCCTCCTCCATGCTTCACGGTGGGAACCACACATGTGGAGATCATCCGTTCACCTACTCTGCGTCTCACAAAGACACGGCGGTTGGAACCAAATATCTCAAATTTGGACTCATCAGACCAAAGGACAGATTTCCACCGGTCTAATGTCCATTGCTCGTGTTTCTTGGCCCAAGCAAGTCTCTTCTTATTATTGGTGGCCTTTAGTAGTGGTTTCTTTGCAGCAATTAGACCATGAAGGCCTGATTCACACAGTCTCCTCTGAACAGTTGATGTTGAGATGTGTCTGTTACTTGAACTCTGTGAAGCATTTATTTGGGCTGCAATCTGAGGTGCAGTTAACTCTAATGAACTTATCCTCTGCAGCAGAGGTAACTCTGGGTCTTCCTTTCCTGTGGCGGTCCTCATGAGAGCCAGTTTAATCATAGTGCTTGATGGTTTTTGCGACTGCACTTGAAGATACTTTCAAAGTTCTTGACATTTTCTGGATTGACTGACCTTCGAAGTAATAATGGACTGTCGTTTCTCTTTGTTTATTTGAGCTGTTCTTGCCATAATATGGACTTGGTCTTTTACCAAATACGGCTGGCTATCTTCTGTATACCCCCCCTACCTTGTCACAACACAACTGATTTGCTCAAACGCATTTAGAAGGAAATAAATTCCACAAATTAACGTTTAACAAGGCACACCTGTCAATTGAAATGCATTCCAGGTGACTACCTCATAAAGCTGGTTGAGAGAATGCCAAGAGTGTGCAAAGCTGTCAACAAGGCGAAGGGTGGCTACTTTGAAGAATCTCAAATATAAAATAAATTTTGAATTATTTAACACTTTTTTGGTTACTACATGATTCCATATGTGTTATTTCATAGTTTTGATGTCTTCACTATTATTCTACAATGTCGAAAATAGTAAAAAATTAAGAAAAACCCTGGAATGAGTAGGTGTATCTAAACTTTTGATTGGTACTGTATCTGTTCTGTTCGTGGAGACATATCTGTTCTGTTCGTGGAGACATTTCTGTTCTGTTCATGGAGACATATCTGTTCTGTTCGTGGAGACATATCTGTTCTGTTCGTGGAGACATATCTGTTCTGTTCGTGGAGACATATCTGTTCTGTTCGTGGAGACATATCTGTTCTGTTCATGGAGACATATCTGTTCTGTTCATAACATGTAGTCTACACCAGTTGTAGTCAGTGCCGTTTGTTGTTCATGAGCATGGCCTTGTTTCTATTGCAGCATGTTGGATGACTGTCATTCATCTTCCATTCACCCAGTTCAACGTAACAGTGATAGGTTTAGGCTACTACATGATACTCACATGTTCCCTATACACATCATGAGGTTGTTACAACCTAGCCTATGAATGAAAGTTTACAACGTAGGTGCACACAGGTCGAGAGAAACATTTGAGGTGACAGACAGTGACACATTCAATACTGCCTTGCACACTCTTGCCTGCATCCAGCTGATATAGGGTGTAATCATTAGTCCAACAGTTGCAAACAAGAGTTTCTATTGGACAAATTCAGGTATGTTTATCCCCGTTTTGTTCCGTTTGCTTCCGTTTAAGAAAGGTTTTTCAACAGAATCAGCGGAATTAATACACCCCTGATCACGCGTAAACACAGTTCACTTTCATAGCAGCAACGTTGTATTCCTTCTCGCATCTATGCGCTCTTCTCCTCTCACCGCTTCCCTTCACTTGTGGACTTCAACACATCAGCTGTATGTGACCAGGTGAAAAAACCTTTCCAAGCCAAACCTTCATATCATAACCGCTAACCGCTACACACAGCCTACATCGTTGTCGCCATATTAGCTAAATTAACGTCCTAGTCAGCATAGCTAATAGAACTAACGTGTTAGTAAACCCGCTCCAATCATGCAGTAACATTACAGTGTACAGTCAGGTAAGCAGTTACACTGGCGGGCCCCGGTGACAATAAATTATTAAAACCAAAAGCTTACCTTGACTTGGAAGAGTTCCAGTGTTGTGTTGGATAGTCATAGCCAGCTAGCTAACATAGCATCCCTCTGTTTGAGCAGGGTGTTTCAGTAGGCTGACCTAGCTAGCTGCATTTGTTAGCTAAGTAAGTGAAACTGAAAAAAATAACTCTTTCTCTCTATTTCTCTCTTGCTTCTCCTTCATTTTGGAAGAGATTAATTTGTTCAAAACTGTTCAACTATTGTCTTTCTCTCTCTTTGAGTCAACTACTCACTACATTTTATGCACTACAGTGCTAGCTAGCTGTAGTTTATGCATTCAGTACTAATTATCTGATCCTTTGATTGGGTGGACAACATGTCAGTTCATGCTGCAAGAGCTCTGGTAGGCTGGTGGACGTCCTCCGGAAGTTGTCATAATTACTGTGTAAGTCTATGGAAGGGGGTGAGAACCATGAGCCTCCTAGATTTTGTATTGAAGTCAATGTACCCAGAGGAGGACGGAAGCTAGCTGTCCTCTGGCTACACCATGGTGCTAGTGCTGTTGAGGCTACTGTAGACCTTATTTGCAAAATAGTGTGTTTTAATCAATTATTTGGTGACGTGATTCTATTTAGTATAGTTTTATCTAAAAAGGCTAACTTTTAAAATGTTTAAAAAATATATTATTTAATGAAATTCCCTGAGGAGGATGGTCCTCCCCTTCCTCCTCTGAGGAGCCTCCACTGGTCTACACAGTACATGTAGTCTAGACAGTACATGTAGTCTAGATAGTACATGTAGTCTAGATAGTACATGTTGTCCCAGTCGTTCTGTTATTACACAACTATACAGTGTTGATTGAATAAGGGACAAGACAAGACAGCCCCACAGTCTGAATGGGAGGAACAGTATGATTTATGATGATGATTTACAGTGGGGAGAACAAGTATTTGATACACTGCCAATTTTGCAGGTTTTCCTACTTACAAAGCATGTAGAGGTCTGTAATTTTTATCATAGGTACACTTCAACTGTGAGAGACGGAATCTAAAACAAAAATTCAGAAAATCACATTGTATGATTTTTAAGTAATTAATTTGCATTTTATTGCATGACATAAGTATTTGATACATCAGAAAAGCAGAACTTAATATTTGGTACAGAAACCTTTGTTTGCAATTACAGAGATCATACGTTTCCTGTAGGTCTTGACCAGGTTTGCACACACTGCAGCAGGGATTTTGGCCCACTCCTCCATACAGACCTTCTCTAGATCCTTCAGGTTTCGGGGCTGTCGCTGGGCAATACGGACTTTAAGCTCCCTCCAAAGATGTTCTATTGGGTTCAGGTCTGGAGACTGGCTAGGCCACTCCAGGACCTTGAGATGCTTCTTACGGAGCCACTCCTTAGTTGCCCTGGATGTGTGTTTCGGGTCGTTGTCATGCTGGAAGACCCAGCCACGACCCATCTTCAATGCTCTTACTGAGGGAAGGAGGTTGTTGGCCAAGATCTCGCGATACATGGCCCCATCCATCCTCCCCTCAATACGGTGCAGTCGTCCTGTCCCCTTTGCAGAAAAGCATCCCCAAAGAATGATGTTTCCACCTCCATGCTTCACGGTTGGGATGGTGTTCTTGGGGTTGTACTCATCCTTCTTCTTCCTCCAAACACGGCGAGTGGAGTTTAGACCAAAAAGCTCTATTTTTGTCTCATCAGACCACATGACCTTCTCCCATTCCTCCTCTGGATCATCCAGATGGTCATTGGAAAACTTCAGACGGGCCTGGACATGCGCTGGCTTGAGCAGGGGGACCTTGCGTGCGCTGCAGGATTTTAATCCATGACGGCGTGGTGCGTTACTAATGGTTTTCTTTGAGACTGTGGTCCCAGCTCTCTTCAGGTCATTGACCAGGTTCTGCCGTGTAGTTCTGGGCTGATCCCTCACCTTCCTCATGATCATTGATGCCCCACGAGGTGAGATCTTGCATGGAGACCCAGACCGAGGGTGATTGACCGTCATCTTGAACTTCTTCCATTTTCTAATAATTGCGCCAACAGTTGTTGCCTTCTCACCAAGCTGCTTGCCTATTGTCCTGTAGCCCATCCCAGCCTTGTGCAGGTCTACAATTTTATCCCTGATGTCCTTACACAGCTCTCTGGTTTTGGCCATTGTGGAGAGGTTGGAGTCTGTTTGATTGAGTGTGTGGACAGGTGTCTTTTATACAGGTATCGAGTTCAAACAGGTGCAGTTAATACAGGTAATGAGTGGAGAACAGGAGGGCTTCTTAAAGAAAAACTAACAGGTCTGTGAGAGCCGGAATTCTTACTGGTTGGTAGGTGATCAAATACTTATGTCATGCAATAAAATGCAAATGTATTACTTAAAAATCATACAATGTGATTTTCTGGATTTTTGTTTTTGATTCCGTCTCTCACAGTTGAAGTGTACCTATGATAAAAATTACAGACCTCTACATGCTTTGTAAGTAGGAAAACCTGCAAAATCGGCAGTGTATCAAATACTTGTTCTCCCCACTGTAGGTATGACAGGATGGCTGGCTGCCAAGTCTAACATCGTTATGGAAACAGCTGCCAAGTCTAACATCATTATGGAAACAGCTGCCAAGTCTAACATCATTATGGAAACAGCTGCCAAGTCTAACATCGTTATGGAAACAGCTGCCAAGTCTAACATCGTTATGGAAACAGCTGCCAAGTCTAACATCGTTATGGAAACAGCTGCCAAGTCTAACATCGTTATGGAAACAGCTGCCAAGTCTAACATCATTATGGAAACAGCTGCCAAGTCTAACATTATTATGGAAACAGCTGCCAAGTCTAACATCATTATGGAAACAGCTGCCAAGTCTAACATCATTATGGAAACAGCTGCCAAGTCTAACATCGTTATGGAAACAGCTGCCAAGTCTAACATCATTATGGAAACAGCTGCCAAGTCTAACATCATTATGGAAACAGCTGCCAAGTCTAACATCATTATGGAAACAGCTGCCAAGTCTAACATCGTTATGGAAACAGCTGCCAAGTCTAACATCATTATGGAAACAGCTGCCAAGTCTAACATCGTTATGGAAACAGCTGCCAAGTCTAACATCATTATGGAAACAGCTGCCAAGTCTAACATCGTTATGGAAACAGCTGCCAAGTCTAACATCATTATGGAAACAGCTGCCAAGTCTAACATCGTTATGGAAACAGCTGCCAAGTCTAACATCATTATGGAAACAGCTGCCAAGTCTAACATCATTATGGAAACAGCTGCCAAGTCTAACATCGTTATGGAAACAGCTGCCAAGTCTAACATCATTATGGAAACAGCTGCCAAGTCTAACATCGTTATGGAAACAGCTGCCAAGTCTAACATCGTTATGGAAACAGCTGCCAAGTCTAACATCGTTATGGAAACAGCTGCCAAGTCTAACATCGTTATGGAAACAGCTGCCAAGTCTAACATCATTATGGAAACAGCTGCCAAGTCTAACATTATTATGGAAACAGCCGACTGAGTCCAGTGCTGCCTGTCTGTCTTTCTGTCCTCTGTCACTCCGTATGTCTGTTGTCAGTCCTCTGTCTGTCTGTCAGTCCTCTGTCATTCCACCGTCAGTCCTCCGTCTGTCGGTCTGTTCTCAGTTCTCAGTATGTCTGTCTGTCAGTCCTCTGTCTGTCTGTCAGTCCTATTTCACTGTCTGTCTGTCTGTCAGTCCTATTTCACTGTCTGTTAGTCTCAGTATGTCCTCTGTCACTCTGTCATAAAGAGTGTTCAGGTTCAATCACATCAAAGTCCTATATCATTTCTATGATCATTCTATTAGCATAACCTCAATAGAGACATTATTATAGAGTAATCAGAAGAGAGAGATAGTTCTACAATAGATGGCTAGTAGAGAAGTTAAGGAGCATTATTCTACTGTTGCACATTTTGATAATTGTCCTACAGTACAGCTGGAGACACAAACATGTTCCATAAGTTAAAGTCTGGAACATGGAGCACACACAACTGGCAGATCACTGATAGGGGAATGGAGCACACACAACTGGCTCTCACCTGAGGCAGAAACATGGAGCACACACAACTGGCTCTCACCTGAGGCAGATCACTGATAGTGGAATGAGAGGGAGTGTGGCGTCATTATGATTCATTCAAACTAGGCATCAGACTGCAGGCTCAACAGATATTTAGTATTGGCACTGACCCATTGTCTGCCCCAACTAACCGGCCTGTCTCAAACAGGTGTAGAGAAAAACAGACCCTGTTCTTCCCTATGACCTTACCTCAGTCACCAGGCTGGTGGTCCCTTGGGGAGCCTCATACTTCCATCCATCCCTGCAGGAGATGGTACTGTTTATCCCGTACTCTTCAATAGTCTCCAAGTCCAGATCCACCGGAGTGTACATCTTACAGGACTGGAACCCAGGGCCCTCCTCAAGCGGAGGAAGGGTGAGGTTCTTCTGTCTATCGTTGGTCAGGTCGGGTCCCTGCGTCCTGATCCAGTCGGTGTTACAGTGGTGAGGGAAGTTCATCCCCGTAAACACCTGACAGAACATGTGGAACCCGTTGAAGATGTTCGGGAAGCATATCGCCGCCAACATTCGCTTCTGGAAAGTTCCAAACTCCCCGACCGCTGTCAGTACCTGCCCGAACCCGGAGCTCATCTTCAGTCACAGGTGTTGGTGCAACACGCAGGCTGGAAGTGTTCGATAGGAGATTGTTTGCCAAGTGTAGGCTAAACACCTTTCAATTGACAGGAGATCATTAGTGGTTAGATAAATTAATGTTTAATCTGTCACAACCCACTCACATGAGTGTTTTCAGGCGTTATCTGGTTATCTGCATGCGTAAAATAATTCCTTACTCTACAAACCTTTAGAAAAAGAAATAACGTAAGTAAAATTCAAAGCCTCAACAAAATACTTAATTAGTTAAAGTGAATTGATAATCTAGTGCCTTAACAGTCTATTCCATTAGTTAAATGCATTTTTAGATGTCCCTCGTGCTTCTTTTTGTCTACTTCAGCAAAGTCAGTGGGACTTTGTACTGAACGGAGAACGCGCGTGCCATATGGAACTTTAGACCTGTTGCTCTGAGCAGGGAACAATGTGGACATATATCTGGGACTGGGATGTTCTAGGGCTGGGCGGGATGGGAACCACAAGGACATACATCTGGGACTGGGGGGGTATGAGCCCTGTTATGGGCTGAATGTTTAACCCTAAATTCATGATGTGTAGATAATTCTCCTTACATAATGATGTGTAGATAATGTATAACTTTCGTTTTGTAAGGTATTTTTAGTGAGTCATTTGTAAGGTTTGTTAGTGAGTAATTTGTAAGGTATTTTTATTGAGTAATTTGTAAGGTTTGTTAGTGAGTATTTTCTAAGGTATTTTTATTGAGTAATTTGTAAGGTTTGTTAGTGAGTAATTTGTAAGGTTTGTTAGTGAGTAATTTGTAAGGTATTTTTAGTGAGTAATTTGTAAGGTTTGTTAGTGAGTATTTGTAAGGTTTGTTAGTGAGTAATTTGTAAGGTTTGTTAGTGAGTAATTTGTAAGGTTTGTTAGTGAGTAATTTGTAAAGTATTTTTAGTGAGTCATTTGTAAGGTTTGTTAGTGAGTATTTTGTAAGGTATTTTTAGTGAGCATTTTGTAAGGTATTTTTAGTGAGTATTTTGTAAGGTATTTTTAGTGAGTATTTTGTAAGGTATTTTTAGTGAGTATTTTGTAAGTATTTTTAGTGAGTATTTTGTAAGGTATTTTTAGTGAGTATTTTGTAAGGTATTTTTAGTGAGTATTTTGTAAGGTATTTTTAGTGAGTATTTTGTAAGGTATTTTTAGTGAGTATTTTGTAAGGTATTTTTAGTGAGTATTTTGTAAGGTATTTTGAGGCTAAGATGTAGTATCGGCGAGGCTTATCTATGAAGTACAGCTTGTAATCAAATTGCTTTTCATAAGTAATGTTTTGTTGTTGCATATACCTGCCGAAAATGCTGCTCAAGGTCATTTCATTAGTGGGTGATGTCAGAGTAGAGGTCTTGGACCCATTCCGAAATGGACCTGGGACTTTTCCCAACCGGAACCTATATGCATAAATAAATAAAAAATATATAGAGACCATTTCCGAACGGACGCGAGGACAACTAGACCCGTTCCATATAGACCTGGTCCGTATAGACCCATGAGAAACAAGATTCTCTGGTCTGATGAAACCAAGATTGAACTCTTTGGCCTGAATGCCAAGCGTCACGTCTGGAGGAAACATGGCACTGTCCCTACGGTGAAGCATGGTGGTGGCAGCATCATGCTGTGGGGATGTTTTTCAGCGGCAGGGACTGGGAGACTAGTCAGGATCGAGGCAAAGATGAACGGAGCAAAGTACAGAGATCCTTGATGAAAACCTGCTCCAGAGCGCTCAGGACCTCAGACTGGAGCGAAGGTTCACCTTCCAACAGGACAACGACAATAAGCACACAGCCAAGACAACGCAGGTGTGGCTTCAGGACAAGCCTCTGAATGTCCTTGAGTGGCCCAGCCAGAGCGCAGACTTGAATCTGATCGAACATCTCTGGAGAGACCTGAAAATAGCTGTGCAGCAACGCTCCCAATCCAACCTGATATAGCTTGAGAGGATCTGCAGAGAAGAATGGGAGAAACTCCCAAATACAGGTGTGCCAAGCTTGTAGCGTCATACCCAAGAAGACTTGAGGCTGTAATCGCTGCCAAAGGTGCTTCAACAAAGAGCTGAGTAAAAGGTCTGAATACTTATGTAAATGTAATATCAATTTATTAATTTACTTATTTTTTGTAAACATCTCTAAAAACCTGTTTTTGCTTTGTCATTATGGGGTATGGTGTAGATTGATGAGGGGGGAAAATAAACAATTTAATCCACTTTAGAATAAGGCTGTAATGTAACAAAATGTGGAAAAAGTCAAGGGGTCTGAATACTTTCCGAATGCACTGTAGCTGCCATAGCTAGGTTATTTATCATCAAATATGATTATCTAGTACCTGTCTTGACTGCATCAAACCGGGAGAAGCTAGTTAAGCTAGCTAACGTTAGCTGGCTCGGATATCTGAGGCTGCAGTGCTTTCTAATCCTACAGTTACAAATAACAACAACTTCATTCTCAATATAAAGGAGCAGCCTGCCTGTTGGCTCTTGGTCGTTGTAGCCTGTCCTTCTCCCTGCTGGCTCTTGGTCGTTGTAGCCTGTCCTTCTCCCTGCTGGCTCTTGGTCGTTGTAGCCTGTCCTTCTCCCTGTTGGCTCTTGGTCATTGTAGCCTGTCCTTCTCCCTGCTGGCTCTTGGTCGTTGTAGCCTGTCCTTCTCCCTGTTGGCTCTTGGTCATTGTAGCCTGTCCTTCTCCCTGCTGGCTCTTGGTCATTGTAGCCTGTCCTTCTCCTTTAACTTTTACTTCCATCTTCCATTGATTGGATATCTTCTAACATGGAGGCTCAGGCTGTAGCCTATTGCCGCTTTGATGACTTCTGATTGGTCAACAGCAACAGCAAATACCACAGTCTGGTGCCGTCCCACGTAAAGCAGATTGTAGCAGGGAAAGCCAGAGTGAAACGAATGTCTAGTTCATGTAGTGTTTTCCTCACCGGGGTGAAAGGTGATCTTTTCTCTGAAACTTCTCTGTCGGGACAAAAGGACCCCAGGCTGCCCTGATCCACCTGCCTTTCTCCCTAAATACTCTCCTGGTTGCCGATAGCACCTTCTCTCTCTCTCTCTTTCCCTCTCAGTATCAGAAAGCGAATGAGCAGCGGACTTTCCTCCAGTAGTTGATCTAGAAGTGTTGGAAAGATAGGAGGGTGTTGATGGCCATACTGTTGGCTTTGAAGTGGGTGGAGGAAGTAAAGCCAGACAGAGTAGTTATTTGCTCTGATTCATGAGCAGTGGGTGGAGGAAGTAAAGCCAGACAGAGTAGTTATTTGTTCTGATTCATGAGCAGTGGGTGGAGGAAGTAAAGCCAGACAGAGTAGTTATTTGTTCTGATTCATGAGCAGTGGGTGGAGGAAGTAAAGCCAGACAGAGTAGTTATTTGCTCTGATTCATGAGCAGTGGGTGGAGGAAGTAAAGCCAGACAGAGTAGTTATTTGCTCTGATTCATGAGCAGTGTTGATGAGTTTCCAGTCCGTTAGCTCACATAGTAGACGAAATCTAATCAAATCAAATTTTATTTGTCACATGTGCTGAATACAACCTTACCGTGAAATGCTTACTTACAAGCCCTTAACCAACAATGCAGTTCAAGAAATAGAGTTAAGAAAATATTTACTAAATAAACTAAAGTCAAAATAAATAAAATAAAAAATTGTTGCTATATACGGTTGGTACCGGTACCGAGTCAATCTGCGGGGGTACAGGTTAGTCGAGGTAATTTGTACATATAGGTAGGGGTAAAGTGACTATGCATAGATAATAAACAGCTAGTAGCAGTAGGGGTGGGGTAGGAGCTGTTAAGGAGCCTTTTGGACCTAGACGTGGCACTCCGGTACCGCTTGCTGTGCGGACTGGGTGACAAGAGTCTTTGACAATTTGTGTTCCTCTGACACCGCCTAGTATATAGGTCCTGGATGGCAGGAAGCTTGGCCCCAGTGATGTACTGGGCCGTACGCACTACCCTCTGTAGCACCTTACGGTCGGAGGCCGAGCAGTTGCCATACCAGGCGGTGATGAAACAGGTCAGGATGCTCTCGATGGTGCAGCGGTATAACTTTTTGAAGATCTGAGGACCCATGCCAAATCTTTTCAGTCTCCTGAGGGGGAATGGGCTTTGTCGTGCCCTCTTCACGACTGTCTTGGTGTGCTTGGACCATGATAGTTCGTTGGTGATGTGGACACCAAGGAACTTGAAGCTCTCAACCTGTTCCACTACAGCCCCGTCGATGAGAATGGGGGCGTGCTCAGTCCTCTTTTTTTCCCTGTAGTCCACGATCAGCTCCTTAGTCTTGCTAATGTTGAGGGAGAGGTTGTTGTCCTGGCACCACATTGCCAGGTCTCTGACCTCCTCCCTATTGGCTGTCTCATCATTGTCGGTGATCAGGCCTACCACTGTTGTGTCGTAAGCAAAATTAATGATGGTGTTGGAGTCGTGCTTGGCCACGCAGTCGTGGGTGAACAGGGAGTACAGGAGGGCCCCTGTGTTGAGGATCAGTGTGGCAGATGTGTTGTTACCTACCCTTACCACCTGGGGGCAGCCAGTCAGGAAGTCCAAGATCCAGTTGCAGAGTGAGGTGTTTAGTCCCAGGGTCCTTAGCTTAGTAATGAGCTTTGTGGGCACTATGGTGTTGAACGCTGAGCTGTAGTCAATGAACAGCGTACTCACATAGGTGTTCCTTTCGTCCAGGTGGGAAAGGGCAGTGAGGAGTGCGATTGAGATTGTGTCATCTGTGGATCTGTTAGGGCGGTGTGCAAATTGGAGTGGGTCTAGGGTTTTCGGGATGATGGTGTTGATGTGAGCCATGACCAGCCTTTCAAAGCACTTCTTGGCTACCGATGTGAGTGCTACAGAGCGGTAGTCATTTAGGCAGGTTACCTTCACTTTCTTGGGCACAAGGACTATGGTGGTCTGCTTGAAACATGTAGGTATTACAGACTCGGTCAGGGAGAGGTTGAAAATGTCAGTGAAGACACTTGCCAGTTGGTCAGCGC